TGATTTCAAGGGGAGCAAAATGATCTGATGGTGGTGGGGTGCTAGAATTGTGCTGCACCTTGCTTGTGCTGGTGGCATCTGCTTGTCAAAACTCATAGAATGATATCCCCAACATGTGACTTTTACTTTTGAATTCAGTAAACTTAAAAAGTGAACCAGCACATATATACAGACACAAACATAAAAATGTGGAAAGATATATATCAAAATACTACAATGATTTTTAAATGTGATGTTACAGACGATTTAATCATCCTTATTTGTTTTCTGAAAAATTAAAATGATATTCAGTCAATGTATAGTATTTCTAGAAAAAAAATTAAATCACATTTCTTCTTACTATTTGATTGTGAATATCCAGACCCAGTAAAGACCACAATTTCAACATGTTAATTCTTGGTTCAGGAAGCTGCATTGGTTGATTAATACCTACTCAAGCAGGCCCTAATTTCTTTGTTGCTTTTTGAGTCTTGTTCTGACATAATGTAATTAGGCAAAGATGTATTGAGCCTTTATTATGGGCCAGGCAATGGTAGGTGCTCTACATGCAATATCTTTTATAATCTTAGCATTGTAACCTTAAATGATGTACTTTTTAAATTCTCAATTTATAGATGTCCGTGACAGAAATAAAAGTTAGAAAATTTCAGGGCTCAAATTCTTAACCACTGCCGTAAAATGAAGTAATTAGAAAATATAGCATCTGAAAGAAATCCACCTGGGTTCTAAAGCTTAGCTCATTATTTTTTGACTGTGTGAGCTTGAGAAAAATTACTTAACTCATATGAGTCTATTCTCTAAAAATAAAATAGGGCTGGAGATTTAGCTCAGTGGCCCTGCAGCTGCCTTGGAACCGCAAGGTCCTGAATTTGATCCCTGGCACTGGAAAAATAAAAAATAAAGAGAATAGTACTGTAGCGAGTACTTCATCAGTTAGTTGTAAGGATTAAATTATACCACACATATGAAGTGCCTGGTATCTAATGTGTTGGCCTTAAAACCCACTCCATATTCAATTTCCTTTTTCTTTGGTTCTAGCAGAAATTTTCAGGATAATTACCCAACTGTCCAGGAATAACATTTGACTCTTCTTGACTCTAGTTTATTATTTCCTCAGCGCAGAAATTCTCCCCTCTCTTTTCTACTTTGTCTTCCCTATCCAGCAAGGCCCATTTTAAGTTCTCCTGCATTCAAAACAGAATTGCTTTATATGCCCCCCCATAGGCACAGTACCTCCATATGCACAGCCACTAATAATTTTACAATTACAGAATACTTGTAAGCCTATGTCATTTTTTTTGTTTTTTGTTTTTTGTTTTTGTTTTTTTTGCACCAGGGATCAAACTCAGGACCTTGTGCTTGCAAGGCAGTTGTGGTTCCACTGAGCTAAATTCCCAGCCCTATAAGCCTATTTTCATTAACCACAGTCTATGCTGTCATTAATTTTGACTTCAGTTACAATTGTCACCCAATAAGGTTGTCACTAGCCTCACACAATTATTTGAACTGGAAGACATATTTTAGATGAAATAAAAATTTAAGTTTAATTTCTCCATCATACTGGCCACATCTGAAGTGCTCAAGTGGTTGTTGTGAACTATGTGAGACAGTACCAATATAGAGAAAGTTCACCATAGAAAGTTCTATTGAAGAATGCTAGTTCAACCTCAACCCAGCAGTACATAATCCAGTAATTACATAGGAGGAACTAAGGTCAGTACTTGTGGTTTGCTTTATTGATTCACCAATGAAATTCACATTTGATGTGAATACTAATACGGGCCTGATCATTTGACCCAGGCTATAAAATACTGATTGATTAAATTGTTCATTCAATTTTAACTTTAGTTTCAAAACACCAAGTTTTTAAAGAGCCAGCCACCTCCCTCTTCTTTAGGTAAACAAAATAATTATTTTGCCCATGATCCTTTCAGTTAGGAGCTGATGTCCTCTATGACACATGCAATTTATACAGAATCTTAGATGTGAAGGTACCTGTATTAAACACTCTTTTGCAAAATATTACCAACAATATTTCTCTTAAGTGAAAAGATTTCCATGTGTTTGGTAAATACTGCTCTGATAACTTTCAGCCTTTCAATAAAAGTTACACACACACACACACACACACACACACACACACATATATATCTTACTTTTCAGTCTATGCTGTCATTAATTTTGACTTCAGTTACAATTGTCACCCAATAAGGTTGTCACTAGCCTCACACAATTATTTGAACTGGAAGACATATTTTAGATGAAATAAAAATTTAAGTTTAATTTCTCCATCATACTGGCCACATCTGAAGTGCTCAAGTGGTTGTTGTGAACTATGTGAGACAGTACCAATATAGAGAAAGTTCACCATAGAAAGTTCTATTGAAGAATGCTAGTTCAACCTCAACCCAGCAGTACATAATCCAGTAATTACATAGGAGGAACTAAGGTCAGTACTTGTGGTTTGCTTTATTGATTCACCAATGAAATTCACATTTGATGTGAATACTAATACGGGCCTGATCATTTGACCCAGGCTATAAAATACTGATTGATTAAATTGTTCATTCAATTTTAACTTTAGTTTCAAAACACCAAGTTTTTAAAGAGCCAGCCACCTCCCTCTTCTTTAGGTAAACAAAATAATTATTTTGCCCATGATCCTTTCAGTTAGGAGCTGATGTCCTCTATGACACATGCAATTTATACAGAATCTTAGATGTGAAGGTACCTGTATTAAACACTCTTTTGCAAAATATTACCAACAATATTTCTCTTAAGTGAAAAGATTTCCATGTGTTTGGTAAATACTGCTCTGATAACTTTCAGCCTTTCAATAAAAGTTACACACACACACACACACACACACACACACACACATATATTCATCTTACTTTAAAGGTGAATAATTAAGATCAAGTGATTTATCCAAGGTCACATTTCAGTGTTACTACTGTATCCAGTTCTCTTGGACACCTGAGCCCCTGTCTTATTTTTCTTCACTAAATATCAGAGTTCTAAATCATACCTATACCTTTAAGACATTTGATGTTCACTAACGATGCCGCTTATTCTGAGTGCCTACAATCTGTAAACCCTTTTCAAGAGCCGCAAAAGCCAAGGTCAGTGCAATGCTCCACCACCACACACACTATCACAATCATGTAAATATCTCAGCTTTCTCCTAGCTGAGTCACTGTCCAGAGTAAAAGGCTCACAAAAAAATGAGGCCAAGCTTTCACCATTCCACTAAAGCTGCTGCTGCAGACAAATGGGTCATTAAGAAATGAGACATAAAATTAGCAAAATTACATTTTTTCTACCATATGCTAAGAGGATTTTGCAAATGATCACCCTCTCTTGCTCTCGTGTGCGCTCTCTCTCTCTCTCTCTCTCTCTCTCTCTGTTCATATATCAGACAGGAGGGTAAATTGAGAAAGTGGTTTCAGGGATGTTGTTCTTGCTTATATCTAGATATCCACCCAAAATCTTGTGTGTTCATAAGTGGTGCTTTGGGGAGGTGGTTGGATCATGGGAATATGATGCCCATCTGTGGATTAGTCCACTTATAAATTTATAGCTAACATGATGTTGGGAGGTAAAGCCTGGTCTGAGGAGGTGGGTGAAGGGGGTGTGGTCTGGAGGGTACATTTCCCTCCTTCTTCCCTTGATCTCCCTCTCTTTCTTGCTAGCCGTGCCATAAGCGGTTCTCTCCATGCTGCCATGCTGCCCTGCCTTGGAGCCCAGCAGAACGTGGACTGAAACAGCTACAGTCTAAGCCAAAATAAACCTTTCCCCTTTAAATTGTGGTTGCCAGGTATTGTGTCTCAGCAGTGAGAAAGTGACAGATGTGCTGGGGAGACACTTAAGATAAATTGCTTTTTGATAGTTAGATTTTGAGGAATATTTTGTCTTCTGTGACTTCATTGTTTTGTGCATTTTAAAAAGACTTAAAATTCCAAGGAGATAAAGGATTTTCTCCACATGTTCCATGACTTTGGGCTTATATTCAAAATATCACAATGAGAACTTCTATAAAATTTATTTTATCAGCTTATTTGCCAAATATTTTCAATATTAAAATGGTTCAGCTTTTTGATCAAACTATAATTAGGATCGCTTCTTGGCCTTTTGGCTAAGATCAAGTGTAGCAAACTATAATTAGGACTTGAAGAAAGTTATTCCAGGTTACATAATCATTAACATTCAAAAAGAATAAAAGGAGGATAGACATGTGTTGTAGCAAATGAAATTAGCAAAATGAATCCTTACTTTGTGTTTTCTATATTCCTTGATAACCCATGGAATCATAGAATAAATAATTGGCCCAATTATTAAAACTGAGAAATTTAACAAGGCACAAGATTAAAGTGCATGTACACTGGGCTAACCTCACTCTCATTCATAAACAATTATTAAAAAATGTTTTAATCTGGGTTTGCACTTTGAATTCAAGAGGATTTCTTAACTGACAGCAAATTTATAGCTTTTCCTTATTGCAGCAAATTTGCTTGACTTTTGGTCTTTATGTTGACATTTTGATAAACTAGTACTTCAATTCTGTTGAGAAACAGCATGATAAAAATCTATGGCAAACACTTGCAAATTAAAAAACACAGGGATAGCTAGATAACATAGAAATGTCCTGCATAAAAATTAACAGTACTATAACATATTGGCAGCCTCCTTTGTTTTGGTCTACAAGGAAATCTACTTTTCCCTCTTCCATCCCTGGAGAGGTGCCCTGAATATTTTCATTAAAGAGACTGGGATGGGGAGGGAGGAAAAATATGTTCAGAGGGACATAGAATGTGAAGAGGACATGGAGAAGAAAATACATGTTGGCTGGGGAGTAGAGACAGCTCAAGACGTGACTAAAAGAGTGGGGCAGAGAGAATAAAAATCTCTAAATTACAGCTAGTTGGTGTTAGGTTAGGTGTTGAGTATACTAATCTATGGGAAAGTCCAAGAAAGAGTGAAACAATGGTCAGTGTGCTTACCTGCACTTGACCTGGTTAGTAGTCCAGTCATATTTTCCTTGAACTTTCAACCAAGCTGCACTCTCAGTTCATGGTCAGGGGGCTCTCTTCGGCCTTGGAGTTTTCACTTATACTGTTCCAGTTGTGTCTATCCCCTGAGAGTGAAGAATACTAATTCATAACTTCCAAAGTATTTGGTTCAGGAAGTTATTTTTCATTTGAAACTCAACTGTTCGAGCTACTCATCCCCTGATACCATTATGCATCATGGCTGCCCAGGTTGTTCTCAGAGTCTGGCATTTCATTAATTACTACAAGAGCTCATTGCCTCTGAGACTTGCATTAGTCAAAGCATCCTCTTTAATAGTAAAGTGGGAGGTAGAGATATTGTAAAACTAACTGATTGAGAGACTCATAATATGAAGGCAAAGTCTGATTTGCTCTACATCCATTGACATTGGCAAAACACTGAGTATTCTGATGAATTTCACTTCCAAAATGCAAGCCAATAACGTTAACTATGCTAAAGGTTCTCAAACTTCCAGGCATCAGAATCACCTGGACAAGAGGCCTGTTCAACAATCATTGCTGGGCCCTACCCCGAAACGTTTCTGACTCAGTAGTTCTGGGGACCCCCTGTAAGAACTACTGATTTAAACAATCCCATGTAATTTAAGAGGGAAAGAACACTCAAAAAAGGAAGAACATGCCTCATTTAGGGCAATACTTTTGAAACTTGAATACCGCTATGAATGCAAATTCTGTTTGACAGACTTGAGATGGATCCTGAGATTTTACATTTCTAATAAGCTCTCAGGTAATGTCAATGTTGACGCTCTTGCCATTGACCAGGGCAGTTTTTCTCAAAGTATACCCTGGCAACCATCTATATTAGAGTGGCAGGGTTGTTTGGGGGATTGTTATTGAATTTGCATATTAGTGCAGATTCCCATAAGAAATTCTGGAAGTGAAACCTGGAAATCAGTCTGTCAAACAAGAGTTTCTGAGATATTTACACAGATTGATTACAATGGACTAGGGCTGGGAGTGTCAGATTTCTCAGGACTGACTACTGGAGGCGCTGGATATTTTCTTTCGTTCATTCTGCTACCCATATTTTGTTGGCTGTTGATGACATCATCAGAAAAGGTAAAGAGTATTCTAAAAGCAGAAGTGAAACTTCTGTTTTGCTCTGCAAAAACTTGGCTAGGAAAACTACAGGGATATATTTTAAGTTTTTTTTCCCATAAATTTAAATTATTTCTGTCTTATCTATTCTCTATTTCTATAGACAACCATAAATTGTTGTCTAGACTTCTTTTGTTAGGAGAAAGTGAAAAATGTTTTTGTGTTGATTACTCAACATGTTGCTAAATCTAGAAAATACAAACTGCCAGCAAGTACCATATTGAAGTTTCCTAAACACTGCAGAAAATAGAAATTATTTACAGCTAGCATTCAACATTGGCAAACAAGTTATGTTATTAAAGATGAATCTGCATATGTTATATTAAGAGGCATGAAATATATGTGCAAAACTAGGCATAATTAATCATTTCTACCAATAATGAATACCTCACTTCCCAATATTGCCATTCAACCCCTCTCTCTAACTTTTGAGCACAGGTATGTATTTCTAACTTCCAGGGATCCCAACATTATGTGCAATACCCCTAACTTGAGACTCAGTTCTTGTGCTTTCACCTACATATAAAGGACTAAACCACTGGAAAACAATTCCTATTCTTATTCAAAGACTAAGAAAAGAAAGTTTTATCAGCAGCAAGTATTAACAGTTGCTTCTAATTCTTGCTCTTATTGAGTTGAGTAGTATGTGAGTTATTTAAGTGCTGTAGTTAGATGAGACATGTAAATCATTATGTTTTCTCATTTGAAAATGAGTTGGACTAGGCACTAGATCAGAGCTAAATTTTCCAAGTTTTAGTGTTTACTTGTGAAATTGAATCGGAGAACATGGCTTCTTGCTTTTTGGAGTTCAAGGTGCATTGTCAAACTTCTTTGCCCTCTTCCCCATTAGGTTTCACTGCCATTTCATCTATGGCTCCTCATTTCCCATGTAGCAAAAACTCCTTGAAGATGAGCCCTAACTCTTCTCTCCAACTTCCTCTCCAGCTCTCTGGGCAAAAACCCAAGGCTCCAGCCCCACTGGATCACTCCATGCCCTTGCTTAGTGTTCTTTCTGTCCCAATACTCTTGCCCCCTTGCTTACTTGATGGAATAATCCAGCCAACCCACATATGAACTCCTTTGTGAAGACATCCTTCCTTTCCTGATCAGAATTAATTTTTTAAGACTGTTTTGATTTATGTTATAGGTAGAGTGAACCTAAGTCCTACCTCCCAGAAGACTTCAGTATCAAATAGTCTGTCAGCTCATCCACATTGGCAGTCTTGACTGAGACCACATGACTACTGTAGTTATGGCAAAATATCTGAAAAGGAGTACAGATTATTTTTCTCTTGGTGAGATTTTAGAGGCCAGGGCCACCTGCTTCATCTGTTTGATTGTTCTTCTGTTCATATCCATCCATCCAATCAGTCATCTACTCATTTATTTGCATATGTGCCAAGATATATACCCCAAGTGTAAATTGCTTATACCCAGTACATGATACATTCTTATTTATTTTGCTGGATTGACATTTAGTGTTTATTATCGTTTAGATCAAGAATGTCCCAGAAGGCCTCATGTGCTCACAGGTGAGGCTTTTGGAAAGTGACTGAATCATGGAGGGAGACATAGCAGACTTGCTATGTCTTAGGAAGTAGGGGCTGGTCAGAAGAGCCAGGTCACTAGGGGCTTGACCTGGAAGGGCAAGCTTCTGGGCTGCCAACCCCTTCCACCATATGTTTAAGCCTACAGACCATGAACGGAAACATCTGAAACTGTGAGCCAAAATAAACCTCTCCTTTAAATTGCAGGTGTTGGATATTGTGTCTCAACAAGAAAAGCAAGACATTGTTTTCATATAAATCTCTATTTAGATAAATCTTTTGCAGTCAGCTTCTTTTCTACCTCTCCTCCTGAGTTCCTTTTCAAGAAGTAAATAACTAAGTTGCAAAGCAGTAGGAAATGAATGGAAGGACAAGAATGTTAAATTTGATTAGCGCAGGGTACTGGCATAATAAAAGAGACAAAGCTGACATTGTGCTCTGGTTAAAAGACAGTGATGAGGGCCAAGCTCTTCAACTGGACCTGTGCCCAGCACTGCCTTTGTACCTAGCCTAGAAAAGAAGCCAGACAGCATGAAACCAATGTGCCCTGTACAAGTAACAGAGGGTGAAGGAGGGGCCACCAACAGATCCTCCAGAGTCATGTAACTTATCATAGCATAGGGTAGAGGCATTTTGGAGGGAAAATATGGTAGGCTTCTAAAAGGGGCTTCTGTGCTTTCAGAGATCAAGAGAACATGCACAAAGGGGAATTTTACTCAAGTCTGATCCTTTTTTCATCAGGCATTATTGCTTGGCAAGTTGTGGTGGTTTTCACTGATTTCCTAAGCATCCCCTACTTCCATTAACTCCAGTCCCTTATGGTTGCATGTATCACTTACGCTAAACCAAAAGTACTATGAGGACAAAGTACAATTCACTGTGCTGTTTCCAAGGCCTAAGAGAGACATGGCTGGTACTTGGTATATGTTAGATAAATTCATGAAGGAAAAAATAAGCCACCTATACACCTATTTCAGGTGGTAACTTTTAATGACCAAAGGATACTTAGAGTGAAAGACATTCTTTTTCTGTTATACTGATGAGAAAAATGTGCTGTCTCTGAGGTAGGTTTTTAAATCCCTGGATAGTGTAAGCTTGGTGGAAATAAGGCAGAAAGGATCAAAGTATAGGATGCCTTGTTGGACTAAATCCTCTCTAAATCAGAGAACACCAGATGTTTAATGTCCCATTCTTTGCTACAAAGCAGTTCTTAATCTTACTATATTCACGTAGGCAACTATTTCCTTTGCAAGGTTCTTCTTTCTGAATTTGCATGTGTAGCCAAAGAATTCTTGTAGATGTAGGAAATGGTCTCTTGTTCCAGATGTGAATTAGCTTTACATTTACTTCCTCTTAACATTGGCCTAGGAATCTTGAAATAATAATTTCAACGACCAAATGAGATGGCCTATGCTTTTCTATATCACCATCCATACGATCTGCCACTCTTTTTTTTTTTTTTGCCGTCATTCATAATTAGTTTTCTTGGTAAGAACAGAGGATGCATTCCCTAGATTATATAGCTGAACATTGTATAATTATTCCACACTTGATAAAACCTAAGTTATTAAAGAATAATTGGGCACAGATTACCATATTTTCTTATAGGGAAGTGAGCAAATAATTTTTGAGACCCCCATAAGAGACCTAGTAGATACTTCAACATTTCCCCAATGAAGACCCCAACACATTGTAAGTTTTATTCTCTGTGTCACAGTCAGAAATCATATGTAATTCTTGCCTCAGCCCTATCAAGATGTGATCTTTGAAAACAAAATATACAAATGCCCAATAAATATATGAAAAAAAGCTCAACATCACTAATTATCAGAGAAATGCAAATCAAAACCACAAGGAGATAACACCTCACTCCAGTAAGAATGACTATTTGAAAAAGGTAATTGTTATTAAAAAAATGGCTATTATCAAACAGACAAGTGGTGGTGAGGCTGTGAAACCCTTGCACACTGTTGGTGAGAATATGACTTAGTACAGCCACAATGGAAAACAGGATATGAGTTCCTTAAAATAACTAAAAATAGAACTACGATATGATCCCACAGTCCCACTACTGGATATACATCTGGAGGAAATGAGATCATATATCAATGAGATACCTTTACTGCAGTCATGATGCTGCCCTAATCATAATAGCAAATATGGATTAAACCAAGGTGTTCTCTGATGAGTAAATGAATAAAGAAAATATGGTACATATACATATGGCGTACAATGGAAAAATACAGTGATGGTTTACATTTTTAAAATATTACAGTAAAAGACACGTCACTATCAATCCCCTCAAAATGCTCCCCCTTGCTTGAACACAGTTATGTCTTTGTTCCTGCTATTTTCTGAAACAGTTCTAGAAATCCTTTTTTGTATCTTTTGTTGTGCTGTTGTGACTGCCTCGATGTCCTGAATCAATTCCATATGTTTACTTTTCATGGTCATTTTGACTTGAGGAAGAGCCAGAAGTCCCACACGTCCAGATTCAGTGAATAAGCATGAGGACACAACACAATGTTTTTAGGATCCTGCCTTTCTGTGGGATGGCACTCAGCACCAGCATTCATTCTATGTTTGATCACACTTCACAAAGACATTCGTGAGAGATTCACGAGCGAGGACTCCTTGAACTGCTTCAGAAAGTGGCAAGAATGATGGGATACCTGTGTTTGTACCGAGGGCGTTACTTTGAGGAGTATTAATGGCAATTTGTCTTTTACTATGATAATTTTTATTTCAACATTCAACTTATATTGGCGTATTTTGGTTACATCTCATAATGGAATATCATGCAGACATAAGAAGGAATAAAATTCTGTTATTTGTAATAACATAGATGGAATTCGAGGCCACCATGTTATGTGAACTAAACCAAGTATATAAAAACAAATACTGAATATTCCCACTCATTAGTGAAAATTAAAAGAAAAAAACCCATCTCATAGAAGTAGTCACACAAATTTACAAGGGGAGGAGAAAGGGAAGAGAAGCACTGAGAAAAGATAAATAACAGCTGTCAAAATGCAGTTAGCAAGAACTAGGTCTGCTGTTCTATACCATTAGTATGGTAACTATAGTCTGCAATAATTTATGATATATCTCAAAATAACTAAAAAAGAAGAGACAGGTTTCCAACAGATACAAATAATAAATATTTGAGATGGAAATGCTAGTTACTATGATTTGAACATTACATAATACGTACTACACCCATAAATATGTACAAATATTTGTCAAATATAGTATATAAACAAATATGAAAATTGAAGAGCAAGATCATTATTGTTATTTAAAATTGAAAAAATATGGGATGTAAGTCATGACTACTGAAGAAAAAATTCAAAATTTGAAAATGAAACAAAACATGTGGCCTATAATGAATGGTTAATACATTGGCTTTCTTATTCCTTTTAAAAATCCTTTTCCTTTCCCTAATGCATTCCTAAACAATACAGATCAATTTAATGTCTATCAGGGTAAGCAAAAGGAAAAATAAAATTATCTGCATGTGTGAGCACACGTGCAAATATATATGGGTGTGTGATGTTTTCATCTTTTGTGATATTTTTATGTAAGTTTTAACTCTCCAAAATTCCTTAAGATCTAGATTGAGTTTAAGAAGAGTCTTTCAATAGTAAAAGAAAGAGAAAATCATATAAGAAAGCATTATCTACATACAAATGGTTCATACTTTCAAAGAATATTTTGTTCTTTCTGACATTCTGCAATCCTGGCTGTTTCAATATGGCCATATGAAGAAAGTATAATCCTCCTTTCTGAACTTTATTATTTCTGATAATGATATCACAGACCAAAGGACCATTGAAATTGGGCCCTGGACTTTTATATTTTCTTCAAAGAAGGACTTCAAGATAAAGTATTTGCTTTTTAAATCAGCATATCACTGACAAATCACTCCTTAGAACATTAAAGTTGCAAGAATTTCCAGAAACATCATTTACTTTTTATAGAGGAAATAATGTAATTATTATGGTAAGAAAAAATAATAATGTAAGTCTACTCAGAATTGTTGAGACATAATTTACATGATGTTCTATAGTACTTTGGAATACTGTCACCTCTCGACCATTCCAATTCTGATTCTCCATTATGCATATAAGTATAATCTTTTGTTGCTTCTTGTCTGATTAGAGCCAGAAGATCCTTTCTCCAGAATATCTGGTGTCTTGTTTTTCAAATTAGTATTTTGAAGAGTACTAACTTTCAGGATGGTAGAAGACAAACAGAGCAAAATGGTTGAGTCTGTGTTGGTTATGGGTATGCACTTTACACAGACCAGTGGGAAGGTATGTATATGCAATTCTGTGTACATCATTTCAGAAATATTTTTAGAGGAGACTCTATTCCAGATACAGATGATTTAAATAAGTTCCCATCTCTAAACTTTAATCTCACTATTTAAAAAATAGGCATGAGAAAAATAGCTCCTGTCTCACTACTTATAAAAATAAGATGAGATGATACATGCCAACTCTTTTGTTCATGTATTTGTTTACTTGTTTATTGTCTGTTTTCCTCTACCTCACCCCCAAAGTAAAAATCAGGCCCGCCCTTTTTTATGGAGGTATCCTCAGTGCCAGAAACAATGTGATACATATAGCAGAACTCAAGAAATGTTATTTTAATGAATTAATGGATGAAAGAATACATGAGGAATTCTTAGCGTGATGCCTTATAATTATGTCAA